AGCTAGGCAGGGTGTCAATTTTCCCCAGAATCAAAGACTTAAAAAAAAATATTTAATCAGTTACAGATTGATTACAAAATACTTCTCTAAGTGGTGCAGTTTAAAACCGATTTTGTACTCATCCTGCACAGCAATATGTGATTACAGGGAGGAGAGAAATGGTGAACTAGGCTCCAGAGGGGTTCTGAAATTCTATTGTTCTTGGTGTCATCTGAACAGACAAGCCCAAAAACATTTGTGGTAAAGCTGTTTTGTAACTCAGTGAGTTAACTTGGTAACTTCTGTAATAGGTGATGGGGCCTCATAAGAAAATCAATTTAAAGAAAGCGACCTCAGAGCTACACCCACTGCGTAGTTTTCCTCCATCCACATTTTCAACTGTCAGGCAATCTCAAATCAACTCCGTCCACTTAAAGAGAAGCGGGGAAAGAAATTGTTTAGTGACTCAGCCACTTATCTATGTTAAGAAAAAGGAAGACTGAAAATTTCTCACATGGTTGATAATTTCTGCTTATGATTTGGAAAACCCAAAAGGAAACACAGAGCCTACAATACTAAACCACAATCTATTGAAATTGCAGCTCAAAGATTGGACAACTAATTAGAATTGTTACCAAGTAAAAACAAGTCATTTATCCTTGTCACTAACACTGCAAAAATACTAAAGCTCTTACATTCTTCTCAGTGTATACTGTTTACTTGTTCCACTTCAGCATGCTTTAAACTAGTGAAAGTCAACTAGCAAGTCTTATTCCAGCTTGCAGTCTGTATTTTTCCACTCAATTTAAAACTGTATGGTAATGGAAATTCTACATTATTGTGCTGATACATATGAAACAATGAAAGTATTTCAGCCTTAGGCCAATGTAAATCCCCGTGCAATGCTTAGTCCTTAAACAGTGGTCATGTGTGGGAGCACAGAAGGGTGGGAGAACTGGTAATACCAATAAAAACTCCACAGACAAGGTCTCTGTACCAGCCTATCACAGGTAACACAATCACAGAAAGCAGCACCATGCTCCATCAACCCTTTCTGGTATTAGCATGGAGAATCTGAAGCCTCCTTCCCTTGGCTGTGGACTGGGGCCATGCATCTCCTCCTCCAAAATCCACATTACTTTACATAGATATAGAGTGAGTTTTACCTCACTGGTGATTTTTGGCTGCCACTAACAGCCAGTAAATGCTGCATATGGCTTGCAAATAACCTGACCTTGTTTCTTTGAACTTTGCGTCAACTAATAAACCAAAACACATTTCGCAGATTATGATTTTCATATTGTAAGTAGGTTAAAAACATCTGGAGTTATCGCATATGAATAGCAGAAAGCTAAGAAAGTTTTCTTCTCAGTTTCCCCATGTCAGGTGTTTTCTTTACAATCTCTTTCCACATCACATGTACTCCACAATGTTCACAGTGCTTTTCACAAGTGCAACACTATCTCCTCATTATACCCATGTCATTTGCATTTCGATATTCTGCCCATACCCGAATGTCAGCTATGACACACTGACTACACGGGAGGGAGCAGCTCGGCAGGATTCCTCGGGAGCTGCAGCAGCACAGGAAGTGGGAACAGTGTGGAAACTGGCAGGAGACAGACCTCATCTCTGGTCCGTACCTAGCAATCCCCAGTTCAGACCTTTGGGGCTCTCTTTGCAAGGGCTGGGGAAAAGAGGGTCTAAGAGTCATACGCAGGAAAAAAAAGAGAAAGGACTACTGAGTTACCACCATCTGAAATCTGATCTCATCAGAAAGCAACTATAACAAGTAAAGCAGTGACAATGAGTAAAGCTGCAGATCCCTTCTGAGAAAAGGGGAAAGACAACACGGGCAACTAGCAGGGATGGGAGGGTCTAATTCTAAACTGGGATGAGGGGCAGCTCTAGGAAAAAGGGAAACCTAAGAGCAAAGACTAAACAGGAAAAAGGAAAAGGAAAGTAGAGACATAGGAGTGTAAACCCAGGAACAAGGTAGAGGAAAGAAAACATGTTACAACTTGTTAACTTATAGTAAGCTTTTCACGTACTTATTTTTCCTAGCACAATACAGAAGGTTAACAGCAATTACCATTGTCTGTGACCCTAATCAATAACTTACAATAGTTATCTTAATATTTTACTATCCTGTTTAGACAAGAAAGCATTTAGGAGCCATTTAGCCAAATAGCACCCCTCCCTGCCCTTATTTTTCTTTAAAGATGATTGATTCCAACCAATTCCTTTTATTTGGAAAGTAAATAGAAAAAGAGCACATATTTTGGTAAATATATTTGCAAGCAGATTTTCTAAAGAGCTGAAAAGTCAGAAACACATTTCTTCAGAAGTTGAAATGGTATTTTGCCTCTCTCCTCTCTCTTTCGCTAAAGCAACCGTAAGACTTACCGATACATAGGGAATGCTGCTGTTTCAGAGTAACTGTATACTTATTTACATGGTTAACGTATGTTCTAAAATAGAAGGAAACGCAAACATTGCATCCATGAGTGAAGCTCACTCTCTTACCAATTGCTCATTTCCACACACGTGCAGCCCGGTGAAAGTGCCCACTAGCAGAAAGGCTAGGCAGGAAAGCCTGCTGGCTCCTCCCTCTGCAGCTGGTACCTCCTGACCAGGCTCCGGAATCACATCCCACCTGCCACTGCTGTTCAGGTGAGGAAGAGGCATTTGAGCCAAACAGAACAATCCCAGAAAGTAATTTAGGAAGTCTGCAAATTAAGTTACATACATGAAATATCCTAACAATAAGGTAAATCCATCATGAAATGAATACATAAGATTAATCATGGAAAGTTACTCATGGAAAAATTGGTAATTCACTTCTTGCATACTTTTACATTTTAGAGAACAAAATGAGGTTTTCCTGAAAACACACTGGAGCAGTAGCTCTGCCAGGAAGATGCTTCATCTGGATAAATCATCTTAGCTACTTTACAGACAAAACCTTTTCAGCCAGTGTGAAACTAGATTAAGAGCTCTAACTAGTCAAAACGACCAAATAGAATATCCACAAGTATTTCCTGCTCTGCCACACCACTGGAATCAAACTGTCTAGATGAGGCTGTAAGTCAAACGAAAGTCACATTGAATTAAATGCATCTAATTTGTAACAAAGGTAGTTGTTCAGCTGGCAATTTTATACAAGTTTAAGAAAACTTTCTAACTATAGAACCTAATTATTGGAATTCCATAAAGTCTTGGCTCCTAAAACACCTTCGTGTTCTCTCCTTCCTGCCCATATATCTTGTGTATTATTTTTTCCCCAAATATCTGAGAATAAAGTGCTTTAGCAGACATTGGACAGCCTTTTAGCCATGACAAGCAAGGGGAAAGACTCTGGAGCCCCACATTAAGTGATTAAGGAAGAATGAAAGCCAAGCTCTACAAAATAAAATGGCAAAGACCTAAAGTAAACAGAAATTATGTTCTCTGACAAGGAACCCCTATTAAATTCGAGGTCAGGGATCCACCAGGCAATGCTCCTCTTCCTCCTTGCGCTCACCTAAGAGCAGCCCGGCTACTCTGTGTTAGGTATCAGCTGCCTGGTAAGTAACTAACCACTACCACCTATTTACATGGTTTCACTTGCTGTCCCAATGCAAATCCCAGCCTTTCTAGTCCAGTCTCAACTTCACCCTCAATAAAAACAGGCAAACAGACTGACCTACCTAAAAGTCCAAAACAACCTTCAAGAGAAAAGGAAGCACCGAAAGCCTGAAAGGAGGATGGAATGTAGCTACAGACATATACGCTAACACGTAAAGCCTTTTATGTCAGGAATTCGCAGTAATAACAGAGCGACGACAGAGCCCCGACAGGGAGAGAGCATCCACCTGGCACCTACGGTGGCTTTCTCGTCGTGAAATTCCTAGAAGGTTTCGGCTCCGAAGCCGCCCTGCGCTCCCCGGCAGGCTCAGGCACAATCTGTTTAGCGCAGGATCACGTCGCAAAACTTCCAGCCGAGATGTAGGCAGAAGAAAGCTCCCTTTGCCGCCGCGGGGCCCGGGGGCTGTCGGCGGCGGCCCGGGGGCCCAACGCCGCGGCT